AAATGCTGAAGAGCAAGGGGCCCAGTATTGAGCCCTGAGGAACACCAGACTTAACAAGACCAATTTCAGACCTGTACCCATTAAGAGAGACAAAGTGACACAGCGATCAGTGAGGTAAGATTTGAACCATTTGAGAGCAGTGTCAAAAACTCCAAACACAGTCTCAAGATGAGAAAGTAAGATGTTATGGTCAACATTGTTAAAAGCAGCACTGAGATCAAGAAGGATGAGTATGGAAAGAGAACCAGAATCAGCAGCTATTAGAAGATCGTTGGTGACTTTGACCAGGGCAGTTTCTGTACTGTGAAGTTGACGGAAGCCAGATGGGAGGGGTTCGAAAAGGTTGTTTGTCATGAGGTGGTTATGTAACTGAAGTGTGACAGCCCGTTCTAGAATTCCTCTGCCGGCCGTGGGATACGAACCGGCAACCTTCCAGCCACATCGGGGACGGGGACGTGGATGTGGGATCCGGGATCTGTTGAGTATATCTGGTCGACAGGCTTAATAAGTCCATGTTAAAGCCAATACTTGGGGAGATGAAGTCTGTCTTCCGTGTGATTATTCCCAGTGTGTGGGGAGGCGGGGAGCTCTCTTGCCTTTGAAGTGGTGCCTCTTGTGCAGCAGCTGTTGAGGCAGAGGTGAGGTGAACTCCGGGCTGGGCCGGGCCAGTCCTGGCCGTGCCCCTCTGAGGTCAAACGAGGGGGGGTGACCTTCGCTGTTTTCTGCTCTCCCGTTTCGCACGCAGAGCTGCTTTTAGAGACGAGGTGCGCTGTAATTGATGTTTTCAACTAGCTGCCTGCATATATAATTATTCATAATTGTACGGCTCTGTGAATCTGGTCAAGACTCCCTCAGACAAACAGGGTTTTTTTTTATATTCTTCCTGTTTTGTCTTTTGTTGTTGGACACTCCAGAGATCTGGCCCTCTGTCTCCTGCCCACACACACCCCCCCCAGGTGGGGGGAGGGCCGGAGTGGACGGGCAAGTCACTGTGTCCTGGCACCAAGACAGTATGGGCTCAGTCTAAATAACAACAATAAATTAAAAGTGCAGTATTTAAAATCTTTCCTTATTTTTGGTGTGGTTGAGCTTTACGGGGTCAAGTATAAATTTACGGGGTCAACAAAGAGACCGGTCAGCCCCACACGCGTGGGTCTGGCCAGTTGGTTGGCCCCTGGAAGCTCATGGCCTCCCGTCTGCCCCTCTCGCCCGCAGGCGCACCTACGTGGGCAGCATGCCAGGCCGCATCATCAACGGGCTCAAGACTGTGGCCGTCAACAACCCCGTCTTCCTGCTGGACGAGGTGGACAAGCTGGGCAAGAGCCTGCAGGGCGACCCGGCCGCCGCCCTGCTGGAGGTCAGACCCTGGGCGGGGGGGGGGGCGAGGGTTCGAGGGGGACAGACTCACAGACGTGTCGCTGTGCGCAGTCACACGAATGCAGACGGTATCCTGCAGTGTCTGTTCCCCGTCACTGAGGCAGAACAGGACAGACCC